TAGATAGATAGATAGATAGATAGATAGATAGATAGATAGATAGATAGATAGATAGATAGATAGATAGATAGATAGATAGATAGATAGATATAAAAATATATATAAGATATATATAAAAATGTACAAAATTTATATGAGGGGTCCTTGGTGCTGTCTAAGCTTGATTTTCTTGCAGACATTTCATGACCCAACTAGGTAACATCATCAGTGCTACAAAGGAGTGAATTTGAGCTTGTTTTCTGATTGGTTGTCACACTCCCATGGGGAGGGGAGCAACTCTGTAGGCTGTCCTGAGTCCCAGGCTTGGTTGAGCCTTGTTGGATGATGATGTAATGAAAGGGCTTTGGGCAATTCCTACAGCTCTACCTGGAGATCTTTGTTATGTAAAATAGGTTGGCCCAGGCCAGAGTAATGGTCCATCAGCAAAGGTGGGGAGGGGGAGCTGAGTTTCTGCTTCTGAATTTCTACTTCTCTTTTTAGGGGAAATATTCTGCCTTTTCAGTATATCCCAAAATATTTCATTTTCCTAGGAGAGGGGTGGGTTTTAACTTCCAACAGTTGCTTCTCTCCTTGATTGGCTTTCATCCATTGCTTCTTGTCCTGCCCTCAGGTGCTTTGGAGAATAGCTTGACTCCCTCTTCTTTGGGGCAGCCCCTGAGATATTCAAACACGGTTATCATGTCACCCTTAGTCCTTCTTTTCATTAAACTGATAGACATACCCAGTTCCTGCAATCGTTCTTCATTTGTTTTCGCCTCCAGTCCCCTAGTCCTCTTGGTTGCTCTTCTCTGCACTCTTTCCAGAGTCTCCACATCTTTTCTGATATTCTGGTGACCAAAACTGGACGCAGTATACCAAGTGTGGTCTTACCAAGCCATTATAAAGCAGATAAATCAGTGTTTTTGAAACTTGGCAAATTTTATGATGTGTGGACTTTAATTCCCAGAATTCCCCAGCCAGCATTTGATCTTGATTATGGATGCCCCTGCCTGTTCTTTCTGTCTGGGTGGAGTTTTCAAACTCCCCGTTGCAACTGAACAATTAATCCGAATAAAGAGATCCTACTGCTTATTTTAGAAAACGTTTTGATCGATGCATACTATTGAGGTTTACATGGGGTTGATGCTCTATAAATGCTCCAGGATATTGAGAAAATCTATATAGGATTGTTTTTATGTCTTTGATCATGCTCCAATTAATACTAAAGGAAAAAAAGATCTATGGATTAAAATAGTCCTAGTACACACACATGGAGTTAAAACTAGGTCTTATTTCAAAGACAGCAAAACATCAAAACAGAAGAAAACATAACTTAATGCCTTCAGTTTGGTATTTACAGAAATATTACTTTACATATTTGTGGGTCAAACTGAATGCCATAATTAGGGGAATGGAGAAAGAGAGTGAGAGAGTGATATCCATCTCTTTCTGTCTGCTATCTATCTATCTTATCTATCTTTATCTATCTATCTATCTATCTATCTATCTATCTATCTATC